GGGGGGAGAGAGAGAGAATGAGAGAGAGGGGAGAGAGAATGAGAATGAGAAAGAATGCAGGTATGTGAGAAAGCGCTTGAGAACAAGAAATCATGGATAATATAATCCCCAAAAGCACACCAGCAGTGACCTACTTCCTCCACCCATGCCCTCTCTGTCTACGGTTACCGCCTGTGAATCCATTCAAATTACTAACCCATCAAATGGATTAATTGACTGATTAAGTTACAGCTCTCATAATCTAGTCATTTGACCTCTGAACATTCCTTTATTGGTTCACACTTGAGCATTCAGGGGTTATCTCATATCTAAACCATAACATTTTATATATTTGAGTTTCTACTGTTTTTAACTTATCACTGAAGTAAACCCATTCTTTATTCTCTATCCACCTCTTCCTCCTTAATTTTTAAACATGATATTAATATTATAAAGGATATTTTTATATTGATTTTATGAAGATTAAACTAATTGTACAAATTATTTTATAGGATTAACTTTATAAGAACTAATTTGTATTAGGATTAATACATGCAACAAATATTTATTAGGTACATATTATGCATCAGATATTTTCCTACATACTAAGAATTCAACAGAAAGCAAAACAAAGTTCAAGCAATCTTGGTGCTTATATCCAACTGTTGTGAAACAGATAAACAAATGAACAAATAAATAGTTGTTATTTCATACAGTGCTGAGTACTATTTGTTAAAGGATAAAGTGAGTGTGCGTGTACAGAGGATAAGGCAAGAGCCAGGTTTTGGTTTTATGTAAGGTAGTTGTGGGAGGGAATGCCTCTCCAGTGAGATAGAATTTAGGCAGAGATCTGAGGAAAATAAGCTATGTAAATGGAGTGTAAGCTGCTGCGTTTAGAACACAGTAGGAATAAATCTGAACACGTGTTTTTGAAAAATATTTGGTTTTATTTTAATTTTTATCCCTCTCTTAGAGGATGTGTAACCTTTCTGACTTGGTTTCTTCAAGAGTAATTGCAATCTTAATCTCATAGGGTTGCTATATGAATTAATGGACACAAACACATAATTGAAGTGCTTAAGATTATGTCTATGTAGGATAAATGTTCAATGTTTAGGTTTTTTTTTTAAAGAGAGAGAGAGAGAGAATTTTAATATTTATTTTTTAGTATTCAGCGGACACAACATCTTTGTTGGTATGTGGTGCTGAGGATCGAACCCGGGCCGCATGCATGCCAGGCGAGCGCGCTACCGCTTGAGACACATCCCCAGCCCTTAACTGTAGTTTTATAATAGCCTAGATTTGTAGTTTAGAGCAAAAATTAACATGCCTATCCTTTAATTTAATATTTTACTAAAACGTATTGTTTTAAAGGTTGGTATTATGTAGGGAGTTGTTTCCTATGTTCAAGGTCAACTTAATATCAGCAGTTAATGGCAGTTCTTAAAAACATTTGGGTGATGTCACCTGTAAGTTACCAGCTCTGTTTTGGATCATTCTCTGGGGCAGTTGAACTGATAAAATAAATATAATTCAATTTGCTTTTCATGATCTTCTTACCCTTGTAATGTGGGAGAAGCTGCTTTACTTGAATCTATCTTGACCAATTCTCTGATATATATAGTACCTATAAATATATGTACTATAACTTCCATGAATAGTAAAATTTAAGATGAAGGATTAATGTCATGATATAAATTAGAGATAAAGTATTTTTTAAGAAAAGCTTAATGAAATCGCTGAAATATCCAAAGAAAGAATTATCACTAAAGAATTGACTTGATTTTAAGATTTTACATTCTTGTATTTTTACATACCATAGGAACTATAACTTACTTAATATTAATGCAAATATTTTTTTATCCCTTGATCATCTTTTAAATATATATAGCCAAAATCTCAATTATTACAAGAACCCATATAAGTTAAAGTGTCTTAACATTCACCATTCTATTATTTTAGCAGTTTGTTTGCCTTGGTGGTTTACTCTTGAAAACCATAACATTTTTCTGATTATCTCAAAGTGATGTTTGTCAAACTATAGCTTGCTGTAGTTTTTTTTTTTTTTTCATGGCAATACAGTGGTAGGGAATCAACTAACTTAAGGGGGGACCCTTTCTTCAGATGCTATTTGAAATTAAGAATAATTAGTTTTAACTTTTGTGAAAGATAAAATTTTAAAAAAATATTTAGTTTTAAGATATATAAGCAAAAATATCAAGACTGTTATTATGTCTTGAAGATTTTAACAGGTTTTCCTCCCATTTATTCAAGTGTGTATTGTGTTAGGATTAATTATTATATTTTTACATGTTTGAGTTTAATAAACAGGGACATCATCAATTTTGTTTTTATTCTTTGATTTATACATTAATAAGTATACATGAAATGGTTTGCAATAATCCTGAACTAGAAAATTGATTTTATGCATGCTGTAGGCAGGCCTTAGATGTTTAAGCCCCAAGTGAATCTTGGTAGCCTAGCAGAATATCCTCTCAGACTCTCATATATTCAAAGCAAAGGAATAAATCATGGTATTACAAGGTTGTATCAGTTGACTTATTGCTGTTTTGTGACCATAGGTAGGGAAGACTGCTGTTTAAAGTCACGTCATCCGTTCTCAAATCAGTCAGGCATGAAGCCTTGTCATATGCCTCTATAATTGTACCACACCAGACTTTCTCTAACTAGTCAGCTGGGGCTGTGCATTTTGTCTCAAACACCCGGCTGGCCAGCATCTGACAGGAGCTTTCTCATCATCCTGTCAGTAATATGTTAACTAGAGTGTATCTTTGTGGCCTGTAGAAGCAGGTGGAAGGGATGCTTCTCTTTAAAGCAGATGTCTAAGTGTTAGCTACTATTTGGACCAATATTTAGTTGGTAAATATTACCATCTTAAAGTCTGTAAGCATGTTAGTTACAGAGATTTGATTGTGCAGTGCCTTTTCTTTCTAGAGTATTTAGAGCAAGCAATAGGCTGTGAGTGTTGGAATTGCATTAACAAACTGTAATTTCTTCCTTTGTTATAGTTGCCCCCAGGCATTTAAGCATATGCTTTTCTCTCCCTTTCTCATTAATTCTATCAAGGGCATACACAAAAGGAAATCTTGTGATTCCCCAGAAAATCAGCTCTTAAAACATAGATTTTATATGTTTAGTTTGACTAAAGAGGAGTCCAGAGGATTTTAACCTCTCCATCTGGATTGTACATATTCTTGATTTGTCTATTAATGGTACCACCTGTATCAGCATTTAATCTGAAACCTGAAGCTCAGAGATTCTTCCTGGAGATTAAGAATTGAACAGTTGGCAGAAGAACAAAGAGTATGCAGGCCTACTTGTTTCTTAAGGTTCTTGAAGAGTGCTTTTGACCTTTGTGTTCTTCAGGCTTTAAGGAGTGGTGCAGTTAAAAATTGTTATTGGGCTGAGGTTGTGGCTTAGTGGTAGAGTGATCGCCTT